GCTACCATGGATTTATATGCCTCTGCTAGCTGTTCCAAGGCTATCAGGATAGAGACATGGTTGCTTCCGCAGATTTTACCATTCATACAGTTAAGATTTCCACACAGGTATTTATATGACTGTGGAATTTACCCTACCATGCATGGTATTTCTGCCTCATTATAAGTCACATGAACATTTCCGTTGGCAAACATGTGGGGCTACATAACAAATCCCACTGGTAATATATTGTATGATGAGGACCCCAGACACCCGGAAGTTTCTGGGCAGTGTGTACATGGCTGGTATAGCATATTTGGACTGTTGGAAATATATGTGTGTCCTTCCATAAGTAGAGGAATGATACCCAAAGTACAAGGTAATACCAACATAAAAAGTCTAAGAGAGTCCACCTCGCGACCAGAAGTAGGGTCTCTTAGACCCTTTTTTGGGGGCGCCTGAAGTGCACTCTGATTAATGTAGGCTGTTTGTAGTGTGTAGATCAGACTTCGACTCCAAAGAGATTCATTCACAATTAATTAATAGTGACATGGCATGACAGAATACGAGCGACTTCCGAGTGTTAATCTTGTGTTATTGCATCACTTCATTACTATGTGTCGTGGATACATGAGTAGCTAGCTAATGGATGGCTAACTACACACAGTGATAGAAGAGTGCTCCAAAATCTTGTTTCACATACGGAAATTACTCTTTTCAGTTTATTTTGGCGCTCATATTTTGTATCACACGTCACACTATCATATTAAAGCAATACAGCCTGTGTTTCATTGTGCAAGGCGGCGAGGGAGCATTGCCTTCGGCGAACGCGTCCCTCGCGCGTCGACTTCAGACAGTCACGTGTATTTAATATTACTACTTATGGGTACGATTCACAAACTTCCGAGAAGTCCGCTCGGTCACTAGTCACGATGACCGACAGTGTCGGTCACTGTCGGTCACGGTCATTCTAAAATGACCGACACGCCCGGTCATCCCGTGGCATTCACTGGCTTGAGGGCATCCAACCGTGCAACATGGACCTTGTTAACATAAACGCAACCAGCGTAAAAGTGCAAGAAAGCTGCTGCGAGCGCAGGGTCACTATCGTTGAGTTGATGTATGTGACCCTTGATGTCCACATTTTCTTTAGTTGCCTACATCCGAAGCTGGTGAGCTTTGATGTTGAGGCACATGATCTCCTCATGTGTTTGCTTCATCTTGAAGTACTTCGTTGCAACATCACAATTGATGGGCTTGGCCCAGGGTTGTTCACAAATGCCCGTCTAAAAAAAGAATGCTTTAGCATCTCAAGCTCTGATAAGTAGGTGTATTGGACAATGTCCTGTCACCAGATCTGCACCGCTGGTGGGTCCATCTTGGCTGCAAGGTGGTTCTAATTATTCAGAGCCGTGAGGACCATAGTTGAATGCTGTTCAATAGCTTTGCCAATTGAGCCTCGCATCTTGTATCCTGGACAGACCATTACTAAGAACAAAGGCATTGATAAACAAGTAATACTCACCTGTGTCCCCTACCCATGCTTTCAAAAGCTCCTGCAAGCATTGAACTACAAGGAGCTGGAGGCAGTCCAACATGCAATAGAAGTCCTGATGCTGAAGGAAGGCAGATAGGGCTTGATACTTGTCTGACAATTTTTCCCATGACTGCGTGAGGCCAAGCCAAGATTCAAAGTTGATGATGTTGCAGTGGCAAACAAAATATGCCTCTGATGCAATGCAGCATGCACTCTCAACTGTGAGGGTCTCATTGGCATCTTCCTTGTAGTCTGTGTTGCCGGCGGTGATTCAGAAATTATCTGATGATACTCTTCTCCACTTGGCACTATAAAGCAAAGACTTGATTAGGGACACAAAATATAAGAAGAAGAAAGACTTACTCTGCTTTGTCCCAGCCCTCAAGAGCATGCACATACTCCACAGCGACCTTCCGCTTGTCTGGTTCCTCCTTAAGGTTCACCAGGAATGAACATTCAAGTTCTGGCCATGTGTTGATCTTGGCGGTAGTGATCAATAACCACTGACACAGAGCCTCCACTTGGCTGTAGTCAGTGATAATGCTGAGTGCCTGTCAATATTTGTTGTACAAGAAAGAGCCTATACATTTTATGAGCTGTAGGTACGAGCAAATGAATAACTTAGCTCAGCATAGTGGTTCTCATCCCATTGACGGAAGAACAAGTCTAGAGCCTGCATGTAATGAAATGTGGATGTGTAGCAAATAAGGCAGGTGGTGTCATTAGAGGCCAAGAACATGTGTTCCATCTGCTTGAGATCTGATAGACCAGAGCCAGGGATATACAGTGGGTGGAAATTGAGTTGACAGAGGCAGTTGTGAGCGTACCTATGGAATGTTTTTACACAGATCATCAGATTCTGTGCACATGCCTTGTTGCTAAGGAGGCGGTTAGAAGCCACAGTCTTGCTGAAGTCACAGCCTGTGTCTTGACCAAGACCAACATTGTTTCTGTGTACATCCAGGAGATAGGCTACAGTTGCCAGACTGTGCTTGGCACTAGGAAAGAGTGAACATTGTGAAAATGGAGATGAAAAGACTTACAGTTCTCCACTGCGGACCATCTTGCATACCTTCTGCATGATACCATGTTGGCATGCGGATGTGAAGATGCCAGTGTTCTCATAAATATTGAGTGCTTTCTTGCTCCCATCAGGTCGGCTTGCACGGAAATCTGAGGTGCAGCGACCTGGCTGCTTGGTGCTGTTGTTATTGTTTCTATTGTGCTCAATGCAGGGGCCGTGGACTGAGCTGCACACTTCATCCTTGTACAAATCAGTGTCCTCGCGTGAGATGAAATAGTTGCTCTTGAATACTCTTCAATCTGCAGAGCCGGCAGATTCCATTCTCCACGCCGAGTTGTTGCCATCTGAAGCGAACTGCACCACTGAGATTAGTGGTACTTCACTCTTGAGCTGTCAAAGCCTGCATTAGTCTAGTCACTGAGTAAAAGAATACATACTGTATAGTGGCAGCAGGGGCAGCTGTGGAGCAAGCACCAGTCGGGGGTGTCCCAGCCCATCTCAGACTGCAGGCGGTGGTGAACTGTGCAGAGAAGGTGAAGGTAGACATTGTATGTTGTTGAGAAGGCATCTTGTAAGAAAGACAAGTAATTAATCTATGTTTCATCAGTGAAGGTTGTGCAAAATAAAAACAATTGGAGGGAGGACTTGCATCATTTAACTTGCATAGCATTTAAATGTAAGGCTGGATGCCAAGGCAGGAGTGTTGGCAGTACAAACAATAGTACACCTCCAGAGTATGGAGGTCAACGGAGGTCTTGGGGGCTTCTGGAGTGTTGCCGAGAAGGCCATAGCAGAGGAGTGCAATGTTCATGAGCTCACCCTGCTGCTGTAGGAATGGATGACTGAGAGACTCTAAAAATATTTAAAATTAATCTTAGTCTGTAGGTTGGGTGGACATACTGTTGACTGATAAGACTTGTATTGTGAATTAGTGCATGAATGGTCTTCAGCGATCAATGGCTGATTGCAGGTGCCTGACAGCCATTTCAGGTACCCTTGGACAAGGTTGCTGTGCTGGTGGTTCCACTCCTGATTGGCATGCTTGTTCCTCTCGTAGCAAGTTTGGGGCCGTTTGTGAGCACAAACAGCATTGATCCTCCAAGTAAGTCAGTAGTATACAGAATGCATATAAGGTGGGTGACGCACCCTAAGTATGATCCTTCTAATGTGGCCTGGATACCTTTATCTATCTCCCCAACACCATGTGTATAGGTGTCTTCATTGTCTGAAGGGTCCAGGGTGTAGCTGTTCTCTTTGACAATACCCAACAAGTCATTGTTTTTGAAGCCCTTGTTAGGTGGTACCCCAGATGCAATGACAATGTTGTTGTATGCAGTGTGGCTTGTGGACATCATTTCTAGATAGAATGTGCATTAGCAATCCCATATAATATGTAGTACTTACCAAGTAGAGCCCTTTGGCAAGCCTCAAGAGCCTCCTCCACCTCCCTCCAGACTGCTCCCACCAACCTATTTGAAGGCTTCATCATGGCAGCACATACCAGAGCTGACAGGCTTGCCTGCAAGTCATTGATCCCTCCCTCCATGTGAACACTCTTGATACCGTGCTTCATGACTTTGAAGAGGAAAGGGAGAGAGGTGTGTAGGGCAGAGGGAGTGGGCGAGAAGGGAGACTCATAATAATAATATATATAAAAACATGTAAAAAGACTGTCAGCAACATGGCATCCAACTGCCCAATACTCATGGTTAATACCCAGATACCTTAAAGGCACTATGTGGCTTCTATAGTGCATGCGGGGAGGAGGATGTGGAGATGGGATAGAGGTGGGAGGCAAGATAGAGGCGGGAGGTGAGTAGTGAATAGGGGTAGGATGGCGGGGTGAGATGGCAAGATCGAAACCACCGGAAAGCACTTTGCCAAGTGGCAGAGAATGAAGGGAGGGGCAGGAGGGCGGGAAAGAGGACTCCAGCATTGTTGGGCATAGGTAGCATTATTATCATGTCTTATCTAGGCACAAATTATTGAAGTAATCTAATCTTAGGGCCTGGAATGCTGTGGGAGACTGAGTCTCAGACATATACAGAAAAGGGACAGGCTGCACCAACAAACACTACCACACCCAAGTGCAACAGCAAGTGCTTGGCTAGAAGGGAAAAGAGGCTTCACAAGCCTCTTGCACTTAAAGTGTGCAACAGGCTTCTGAAGCCTCTTTCCTGGTGATGGTCATGTGACAAAGAGAGGGAAGGATCTTAACATGACTGGAATGGAAATGAGGCACTAGTCCCATTAACCAAGATGAATAATAGCACTGACTAATACAGCAGGCAACTCACCTAGTCACAATAACCAAGAGGTCAAGATAGGGAACTAGACTTGGCTCGGTAGAAACATAGTTTATATAGCAAATCAGAAAGGAGAAATAAACAAAGGTATACATAGGCATACATCTGGAATGTTCTGGAAAGTGCTAGCGCAGTAGAGCAAAATGAAAGGGGAAAAAACCCATCTGTTCATGTTCCTGGCAGGTGGTTTGAGAGCAAGAACATGAGGCTTAAGGCCTAAGGGTGTAGGACTTGTTGTGCTCAAGGGAATGCACATCTTGTCTTGGCTGAACAGTCAGTTTTGCAATATACAAAAAGTTTGGACAAACAGCTCATGGATGACAGTGCCAGAAGAGACAATAAGTCAAAAACATATTTGCCACATTAATACTTTGAACACATGGGTGATATACAATTGGATATAAGAGTAGTCTACTGATTTCAACTATATAACAGTGGCTGAAACTTGGATGAAACACAGAACTCTGACATGATATTAACTGAATATATGTGCAATGAAATAAGTGCTTTCCCGTTCAATTCAGTGACACAATAGACACTATAGATGCTCAACTAGAACATTAAACTCCTGACTAATGCTACTTAGCCTTCCTTCACTTCTGTGCTAGCTATTCTGCTGTCCAGAGCTCCTTTTGGTGCATTTTAAACAAATTTGGGGTGCATCCAGGCCTATGTACATGCAATAACCGGAACATGATAGCTGAAAAATTTGGACTATTATTGACATTCTAAATGCACAAGGCCAGTGGCTGCCCTGACACATACCTGGGGTATGGGCTGTGTTAGAGTATGAATCTGCACTCTTGGGAGGACCCGGGTTTGATTCCCAGTGGAATCCTGTGCTGCGGGACAATGCATCAGGCCGTGGAATGATGCAAACTTTGATGGTATTGGAGACTCCAGTTGGGACAGTTTATTAACATGTGTGTGCTAAATTTGCAGATTGGAATTATGTGTCTCAATGCAGCAAAATGACATGCCATGCCTGATCTATACACACACATATTCCCGCAGATGCAGCTGTCTGCAAGAGACGGGTGTATGCACTCCATTTTGTTGCATACAGATGCATCATCCGACAGAATCGGACATGCAGCTGGCTGTAATACGTGGGTTTAAATTGTCCATTTTGCTGCAGACAGCTGCATCATCCGGCAGAATCAGACATGCAGTATAATGCAATAGCAGGCAAAGCAATAATATGATTCGCCTTGGATCTATTTTAAGCACATGAGGGGTAATGTTCTAATCTGTGGCCTAGTAAATAGCACACCGGCAACGGTGTGATTGTGAAAGCAGAAACAATCCCGAAATCATACCAAGTCCAAAATGCTGACCCGCTAACCCGTATCCACCTAATGAAACATCCCTCCAGCAATGGCCGTGCACGTATTCAAGGTCCACGCACCCTCGGTGACCTGATAAATAGATTAGAACAATAGAATGTGTATAGTTGTGATATACGCACCAGTTTCTTGGCCTCAGCAGTGTATTTCTACAGGAAAACATGTATATGTCATAAACTTGATAGTGAGATCAAGAAAAACATACCTTTTTGAGACCTGGGGCCAGGTTCTTGTAGTATCAAGCAAAGTCAAACTTGTTGACTACACTTCCTTTGTTCTTCTCCTTCTCAAGCCACCAAATGGCACAGAGAGTCTTGTGCATCATGCAAAAGGACGTTAGAATAAAAACTCGAGTCGACAGGCCACGAAGAGTGTACCTTCCATCCTTCTTATCCCCAGGATCAAAGGCCTCCTTGGCTGCATCCTCCTCCTTGTGCTGACCTGACGCTCCAGCCTCTGGCTTATGGTCGAACACGCCAGAAATGGGCTCACTAAAGCCTTCCTTGCGAGACTGCAAGCGGGAATTTTTGGTGTATTCACTGTACATTAGAGCAAGTCAGCTGTAGTATAAATACAATAAGAGATATTTACGAGGGATTCTCAAGGACAGCCTGAGCGCGGGACTTGAACACTTGAGGCGGTGATTTGGATGGTGTAGTGGCAGCTGCCGACTTGCGAGCCGTTGAGCGTGTGGTTTTTGTGACGGGTGGTGATGCTGACGGGGGAGTAGATATGCTTGAGGTGTGGACTTGGCTGTCCTGCTCATTAGTTGCCTCTTCAGAAGCCACCACAGGAATGGCCTTCTTGCTCAGCTTGAATTTGAGCACCGGCAGCATGCAGGGGAGAAGTCCTTGCTCCACGTCTTGGCTTGGAGCTGGTGCTGCGGTGGGCCCCGGCTCGGTGGGAGTCGCCACCTTTTGGCGAGAAGCAGCAGCTGTAAGTAAACAGAACATTAGCTACAAATTATATAGAATAAAGGAAAATGTACCGTGATCGGTGGGAAGCCCACTGGCACATGCATTGGTAGTGGCAGCACACTCTGATTGCTCCCTCTCTGCACGCTCCTTCTCGAGCCATGGAAGCGGAGACAATTCACAACTCCCCTCTTCGTTTGCATCAGGTGAGTCAGAGGGGAACGTACATGGCTCAAACACTTCTTCGTCCCTGTTCTCGGGAATGTCGTCACGCTCAACATTGCTAATGCAGGTGCAGTCGGTAGGATCAATGGCGAGGGCATCCTCACACTTGATAACAGGGTTGTCCTGCCGAGTGACCTCCTCTGCACCCACACCCACTGGGTTGGGGTCGTCCAGATTACCTTGATCAGAAATGGCTTTGGGGGAAGGAGGAGGAGGAGGGGCAGGATCTGTACTAGTGTTAGTGTACTGTAGTCTGATGAGCGAATACATACCATTTTCTTTTTCCTTGCCTTTCCCTTTGGTGCACTTGGTGGAGATGGTGGCTTCATCTGCAGAGGGAGAACAGCTTCACTTGCTCGATTTTGCAGCCTTGGAACAAGTGCCTTGACTAGATGCTGATGTGCTTTTGGAATCCTTGAGGATGGCCTCGGCTGCCTTGGGGTTGTCCTCCATCTTGGCCAGGATCTTGGGCCTGATGTTCTCGAGATTGTCAAGGTAGCTTCTCTTGAAGTTGGGGAAACTGTCCTTACCGAGGTAGTTGACCTTCCAATTGTCCTCTGCAAGAGCAAGCCAAGGATACTTGGAGTACATGGCACAATGTGTCTCTTCCTTGACATCAAACGAATGAGCCGTCCACACAAGGGCAAGTCTCTTCTGACTGGCAAACTGCCACCACAACGTGCGCAGGGTCTCCCTGACCACATCAATGGTCTCTCTAGGGACCTTCTTGCCGTCAGAGTATTTGCAGAAGGGAGTCGTACCGTTATCCTTGGTGTACCCAGCTCATCCACCAACATAATCTTTCCTTTCATCGGTAAACTTCTTCTCCATCCAATAATTGACCTTGTAGTGTTTCTTCATGTCGGCAAGATGCTCCTCATGGTTCACAATGTTCGGCACCTCATCTACGAGGAGGTGTCCCCGCTTCAAACCGACCGAGTCAGCAAGATGATCATAGCATTGCCTGTATAACCGCTGAATATAATGTACTGATCATGAAGAAACACTCACTGTAGCATGGCCTTTTCATTCTTGAGGACAGCATGCTCATTCCGGATTGCAGCAAGGTCGTGCTCAAGCGTGTTGCACTTGTCTTGAAGCAACACCATATGTTGCTGCATGCTTGGGCCACCATACCCATCCTATAAACATTGACAAGCACCAAATATGAGATTTCAAACACATATATAAGAAAAACTCACTGAAGGATTGCTCCATCGAGAATTCCCTGTAGGCATCTGATAATAAGAAAGCTGGGACATGTCAGACATAGACCAAGCGTGCGCATGAACAGAGCTGTCATAGATGTGCTTGGGGGATGGGAAATTGGGAGGGAGGCCGGATGCCATATTTGCGCCAGTAGAGGTAAAGCTAAGAAGGTAGTGGGCGACTTGGTGGTGCAAAGGGAAGCAGAGAAAAAGTGGGCATTGTAAGCTCAAGAAAAGAGTGAAGCAAAGTGCGCACTGGACAAATTCCATCCTGATCATATCACACACTTTCACGCAATGCCACTGACACAAACTGTTTATGGCAATTGACTTCAATTTCACAAGTCAAAGTCTATACACATATAGTCTGTAGTGGAAATGAGTGCAGTATGTAAAAAAGTGTACCTAAGCATAGTGTATAGAAATGTGTATATAATGAATGGCGGTATAGTGCAGGTGTGATTTTAGACGTCATGAGAGGACAAACCCACTCACATAGAGCAAGTTCGCTGCGTCGGCCTATTATCTTTGTCATCTACATCCTCCGACTCACAGAGCAAGCTCTTCCTCTTGAGTGGAGAGCTTGCAGGCATAGATCCTGACACTCCTGCCTGAGATGGACCAGCATGGGGCAATGCAGCTGGAGGGGATGGCGTACTCGCAGCGAGTAAGGAAAAGTGTAGTGACGAAGCTGCATGCAGCCTCACAGGGGAAGGAGAACTGTGGCTGGGCGGCAAGGGACCATTGCGAAAAGGGTACGGATGATTGTCGAGATCAGAGCTTGTATGGGATCCGGTTGAGTTGTTGTGTGAGTCTTCGGAGTCTTCGTGAGCAGAGGATAGCTCGTTGATGTTGAATGGTAGGTGAAGTGGAGAGCTTTCTTGGGGAGCAGCTGGTTCATTGAGTGGGCGGGCAGATTGAAGGTCTTTGACAATTTTGAGTCTATCGGCTTCGGTGATGATGAGGGTGGTGTCCTCATCGCTTGGCTCTGCTTTCACAGTAGCCTGGGCTAGAGCCTCCTCCCTCTGTAGGCATGATTAGGATGGCATTGAAACAATAATTGGGGTTGGTGTACCTTTCTCTGCTCCATCAATTCCCAAAGAACACTGATGAGCTGCGTCTCCGAACGTGCTGGCTCAGGCACAGGTGTGCGTTCTCGCCTATAAGACAAGACAAGAGTTTCCGCGCGACGGTGAGCTAAATGATGAGGGCAATGGCTGGGACGAATGAGGTACCTGTATGGGAGATCGGAAAAGCGACGTGGATGGGATGGATGACCCATACCGGGCAGAATCGTGACTGGGATGGGCTCTGCGAAGGTAATGCGGACCTTGTCTTTGTCAAGAGGTAAAGCGATCTTGGGGGACATGATATTGACTGGAGCAGATTGAGCACGAGTAAAGGGAGGTCGATCAATAGCAGGAGTAAAGGAAGGTTGGACCGAGTCCGCAGGGGTATCTTGAGAAGGCCGGGCAGTGTCTTCAATGGCAGAGGGATGTACAGGAATTGGGAGATCAGAGAGACGAGTCGCACTCGCGGGGTGCTCTAATGCAGAATTGTTGCTGAGTTTGATAGCAAAATACCAGTGAATGTGTCTGGGATAAGTATACTGTGCTATTTCAACCTTAAGTTCAGTCCACCTGTCCACCCCCCTCTGAACTGAACCTCTGGGGGTGGACAGTCCACCCCTCTTGAGGGGCTTTGAACTTAGTAGGGTAGACATCCCGTAGAATCATGAAAAACCCTGTATATTATGTAGAAAAAATGAGATATGCACTATGAAATGCCCTAATGGCCTAAAAACCCGTCGAAATACTTGCTAGAGTAGTAGTAGAAACAAGATGACGCTTTCCCCGGCCCAAGTCCTTGGCATCAGGTAAGCAAAGCGAGTTAACGTCAACATTGAGACATCAAAGACGTACACATTTTGGTTGCCAGCTGCAGATGACATGTTTGATTAATTTGAGTGTTGTGTACACGAGGATGGTCGATGTCGGTAAGCGACGTGTCAAAATCCTGGCTCGCCGAGATCTTGCAGAGTGTACAAATATTAGCACACAATTAAGCACAGCCACATAAGCGTCACAGACTTGGCGCTTTCCAGCACTTTCCTTGAACAAATAAAATGATGCTTGTATTTGTTTATCAAACTCTACGTGCATGTTTGTTTATATTACAATGTCAGTGAGGTTGATTGCATCGAGCACGTTGAAGGCTCAACGTGCTAACACGCTCAATGTGCAATGTATGCGTTGGTGGCATAGAAAACATGAAAGAGCGTGGCTCTAGGGTTAGGGTTAAGGAGTCAAATTTTCATACCAACATTTTGACATAGTGTATTATGTGTTTTCGTTGTACTCCGTGACTGGTGAGGTTCATCCATCATGTACTGTCAGAGGGAAGCCGCCCAGAACAAGTGTTCTGCCCAAGAGTAAGTTCCTGTATGTGTGACAGTGCATGTGTGTCGCGGACGCGGGGGTATAGCCCCTGTCTTTCTCTTTTACCCCTATCTCTCTTACCTTCTCGCGCATTGTCTTGTTTTGTTCACGCTCCGCGTGGGCTGTGCTTTTGGACTCTGACTCATTTGTTTGGCATTGTTATGGACACTGCCCAGGATTTACTATATAAACCCTGTACCTTCATCCCTAGTCCCCATCTCGACCTCTTTGTCATTGGGACTAGGTGCGTATTCATCCCCTGATGTACCTGTAGATACACCAATCTAATCTTTGTCATTGGGACTAGTCCTTGGGATCCTCCGTATTCTGTCGCCGCTCTGAGTCCGCTGTTCTAGCGTCGTTAAGCTCCTCCGCTCCGCCGTCATCGTCATCTCCGCCACATTAGGTCGAGATCTACTACTGCACCGACGACCCTCAGCTCCAGTCGCCCCTGCAGGACCGTCACACAGACCAGTAATTGTCGCATTCCAGCAGCGTACTTGCTGGAGCCCATCATCATCCTGTCCGTCGACCTCAGTCTCGCTCTTGCGCTCATTGCCTTCGCCGTCGTCGCCTACGCCGCCATCTTCATCTACGCCTTCTCCCACACGCACTCCACCCTCTACGTAGAGACTTGACGTGAGCACTAGCACCGCGAAGTTCCCTCAGCTCCAGTACCCCGGCAAGAGGCTACAGCCACCACGCCCCGCTTCTCAGCCAACACCGCCGACTGTACAGGCCACCCACACGGCTTCTCTTTAGTCTATCGAACACACGTATCCCTCGATAACGACAGTTTTGAAGAGTGCGACGATAACCCTTGCCCCAACGCGCGCGACTTCCCCCTCCACGGAATCCAA